GTATAAGGAGCAAAATGGAAAAGGCCAGCGCATAGCACAATTCAATATGTGGCTAAAGGAGTGGTGTAAAGGGGAAGGCTTTGGATATATTAGTCACGATGTCTGTAGCTGGTCCAATGAAAAGATGTACAAAAGAGATGGTTTGCATCCATCAAAGAAAGGGACTGAGTTACTCAGCTATAAATTCACAGATTTTCTGGAGGAAAATTTAAACTAAACAGTGAGGACAGTGAGTTAATTGATACAGAACAACCCTGTCCCCGGCAATCTAAAAATTATAGGGCTACCAGTGCATGTAGCATACAGTAGATGTGTGTGTGGACAAGAATATCAACCTTGCTGTCAAGCAAAATGAAGCCTCTAATAGCGAGTGCCACACAAAGTGCACTAACCAAATAGGTGGTAAGACAATAGAGGAACTCAGGCACCACACAGGTTATGTAGAAAAACACAGGGCCAGTCACAAAGGACTCAAATGTCTATAGACCAATGCACAGAGTATGAACAGCAAACAGGGTGAACTAGAAATTCAGGTTAATGAGGGCAGATATGATATTGTTGCCATTACAGAAACATGGCAGGATGAAACCCACACATGGAACACACAGCTAGAGGGATTTAAATTATTTAAAAGAAACAGACCAAATAAAAGAAGAGGCGGAGTTGCTCTCTATATAAGAAATAACTACATCTCTACAGAAATAGAGCACAACAATGATAAAAACTGTCTTGAATGCATTTGGGTCAATATAAAAGGGGGGGGGAAATGACATTGCCATAGGTGTATACTACAAGCCATCCAATCAAACAGAGGAAATAGATGAACTTTTTGCTAGTCAGCTAACTAAGGTATGTAGGAAGCATATCACAATAGTAATGGGGGACTTTAACTACCCTGACATCAACTGGGACACAAACTCTGCACCAAGTGGAAGATCAAACAGGTTCCTGGCAAACCTAGCAGACAACTTTGTCTCCCAAAAAGTAGAGAAGGGAACTAGGGGATTAGCCATTTTGGATCTAATTCTCACTAACAGAGATGAAATGATAGAAGGTGTTGAAG